CACACAAGCAGTGGCAGCAGGAACCGGCGGGGGCACCCCCACCCAGGGCCGTGGCAGAGCCGGAGGGGGTGAGCGGGCGAGTCGGGGTCTCGCCGGGGGAGCCCCCCCGCCGGCTCCCACCCACCCCGGGGAGACAGCAGGGGCACTTACTTGTGCAAACTGAGCAGGGCTGTAGAAGGGCACCGCTGCGGCGGGAGGGCCCCCTGCGGGGGCGTGAGCACCCAGAGCCTGAGAAGCACAGAGAGCGCACCTCAACAACCAACAGTGCACGGCGGCTTGTTTCATTTGCAAATACAGGTACTATTTCTGAGAAAGGGTTTTTAATATCAATACTTTCAAATGTGCCACAGAAGCTGGTCAAAGATACCTCTTGCGGGCTTCCCTGGTGGCGCGGTGGTTGGGAGTCCGCCTGCCGATGCAGGGGGCGCGGGATCGTGCCCCGGTCTGGGGGGGGATCCCACATGCCGCGGAGCGGCTGGGCCCGTGGGCCATGGCCGCTGGGCCTGCGCGTCCGGAGCCTGTGCTCCGCAGGGGGAGAGGCCGCAGCGGTGAGGGGCCCGCGTACCGCAAAAAAAACAAAAAAAACAAAAACAAAAACAAAAAAGATACCTCTTGCAACGCTGTATTTAATTATTTAATGGTTCATAGAAAAATGGTAAAAACCAAAGCAACATGCAGAGTACGATGCTTTAGAACCAGAGCACACACGTGAGGTGGCACGGAGCTCTGAGCGGGCACTCAGTGCCAGGGTGAGCCCTTAGTAGGTGCTTTTGATTGCTTTAGACCTCTGGTGTCCAGCTACAAAATCCAGCGTTTTAATTCACAAATAAAACAAGTCACACGAAGCCTTTCTGCCAAGCCGAGGGAAAAGCTTAGTGCCCCAATGCAGAGAAGATAAAGTATTCCTTTATTCCCCCCGGAGTGACCCCGGACAGCTGCCACTGCCTCACTCTGCCTGCCTAAAATAAACCTCCTCGCGCTTGATCAGAAAACAGAATTCTCTCTTTCAAATGAGAGCATCCTGACCCAGGGGGCTTCTGGCACACACGCGCACACGCACACACACACTCACTCTCTCTCTCTCTCTCTCTCTCTCTCTCTGACGCTATGCCTATGGCTATAGTCATTTGAAAAAACCAATTCAGAAAGAGCGCTTCCACAGAACTCGTCCGTTCACTACAAGCTTCTTGGGGTCGGTTCGATGGTTGATTGTGTCTGGCTATTCAATACCACCCTTTAAAAACTTCTAAAGAAAGGAACACTGCATCCTCAGGCATGTGATGGCTGGGAGGTGACAAGTAATGTCAGTGGCCAGGGGCACGATGACCGACCAGCATAGCGATCTCAAAGGAAAGACAGACAACCCCGTTCAAATCCATGTCCAGCGCACACGGCCAGCCACAGGTACCTGGTTAAAATGCTGGCTCACTTCACGTGATAACGAGCTCAGTGAACTACAGCGCGAAAGCTACAAAACAGCAAGAACACACAGATACAGACAAATACAAAAATCAACATGCGTGTCACTGCTCCAAGCTGGCGGTTTAATTCCAAAGAGCTTTATGACGCTGTTAGAATCAGTACAGCTCGATGGGAAAAAAGCCAGAGTCAGCCTGAAACTCCTATTTTCATGTACAGTTTTTACTGGAAATGACCCTTGGTTGCGGGGAGGGAGGTCTGCCCAGGCCTGGGCCCAAGGCAGCCAGGCCTCGTGCCCCCCGAGGGACCGAGGACAAGAGGGCCCGGCAGAGGGGCGAGCCCGGCTGCCGAACACACACGCAGCCCTTCACCCTAGTCAGAGCTCCCAAACAACTCTGCAGAAACAAGCGTGACTTTAAGGAATACGACACTTTTTGAGTTCTAGAAAGTTTCTGAGCTGCCCTTTTCCTGCGCATTAACTTCGTTTGAAAGAAGCCACCTGGACAGTGAAACGAGCGTCCTCGGCCCAGACCTTCAGCAGATGCGCTCATCCGGCGCCGTTTACCTCTCCTCCCTGGGAACCGTCCGCTCCGGAGGGTGGGCGTTCCGGTCCAGGGAGCGACGCCGCAGAACTGAGCACCTGCCGGGAGAGCAGGGAGGCCAGCTACTGCAAAGCCCGTGCGTCGGAGGCACCCACCGAGGCAGGACCACCCAGGACGGCCCGCTCGACCCCACGGGGCGCTCCTGCTGAGGCTGTGAAAGGGTGCCGCGTGGACCTGCTATTCCAACACCCGCATGCATCCTTACTGAGCGCCTGCCGTGAGCCCCACCGCGGCCCTGCGATCCGCGCTCTCGTCGGCCCGTCCACAGGGCAGGACGCTGAGGCTCAGAGGCGCTGAGGGACCCCCCACCTTTAAAAAGCTAATTACTGGGGCTTCCCTGGTGGCGCAGTGGTTGAGAGTCCGCCTGCCGATGCAGGGGACACGGGGTCGTGCCCCAGTCTGGGAAGATCCCACATGCCGTGGAGCGGCAGGGCCCGTGAGCCATGGCCGCTGAGCCTGCGCATCCGGAGCCTGTGCTCCGCAACGGGAGAGGCCACAACAGTGAGAGGCC